ATAGTAGTTTCGGGTGTACAATATACTGATTCAACACTTCACACAACACCTGGTGCTCATCACAAGTGCCCTCCTTCATCCCCGTCACTTGTTTCACCCATCCGCCATCCCCTCTGGAAACCATCAGTTTGTTCTCTGGAGTTAAAAGTCTGTTTCTTGGTTTGCCTCCCTCCCTCTTTTTTTTTTTTTTTCCTCCCCTTTACTCATTTGTTTTGTAAAAATGAACTTTTATTGAGGAATTACTGTGTACAAGGCAGTGGTCTAGACACAGGATGGTAGGAAGGCCCAGGTAGGGAATGTAACCTCAGGGTTCCTAGAGCTACCTTATTTGCTGGAGAAAAAATGGCTACTCCTCCACTTCCAAAACACAAATCAGTTCCTGTGGTTGGAGGGGTAAGTTGTGGGGACAGGGTGTGCTGCTAATCTCTGACCAGATCCAGTGTAGATTGCAATTGCCAAAGGCTCAGGAGCTCTTGTTCCAAGATAAGCCCCCCCAGCCTGGCCCCTGTAACCTTTCCCTCATTCTGCTCCTTCTTCTCTCCCTAAATACACTCAGGGAAAACATTCAACATGAGAGTTTTTAATGACATGCGTAGTGTAAAATAAAGTACAATGCTTATTTATATTTATATTTTATGTAAGTAGCTTCTTTTACTTTGTTTCAGCTTCTTTGTTTTTGTTTGTTGGGGGCCCATGATAATTCTAAAACAGGAATTTCAGAACTCTGTATTTAGTTGACTCTATTGACTCTTGTTTTTGGTTTTCTTGTGGGAATTTCAAATCTTTTAATAATACTCTTTTTCAAGACCTTGAAAATATTGACAACATGTAAAATCAGAGTTATATAGGAAGAAAGATCCATCATGATATGCTTGAGGAAAACACACCAGAGATAATTAGACATAGCCATTTTGATCTTTGCCTTGTTTTCTTTAAATTAGGACTAAATAGTACCAAGAGCCCCCATGGAAATATATTGTTTGAGCCCCTGTAGAGATTTTTATTGGAGAAAATTTTCCAATTCATGTGTTTGACTGATTTAATGTAGAAAATGCAAAGACAGATAAATTACTGGAGCCTCTCTGTTTGTCAGCAGATACGCCATTGGCTACTGAATATGACTGTAAGAAATGTGCATGTTCCAAAAAGGAAATGGAGCCATCTCGGAGGAGAAAAGAAATTAGCTTTGTTGTTGCTTTTTTGTTTGCTTTTAAGAAATATATACAGAACATTAAGCAAACTAGAGAAAATATTTGGATATATATTGAATACTTCAACCCTTTTGTGGAAACTGTGTTTTGGCTTACGTTTTCTCTCTTTTTCCTGCCAATTCTCTTTACTTATTTTATCCCTGACTGCTCTTTGTTTGATTTTGAAGTTGTTAACATAAACTTCCTCAGATGATCTTAAGGAAGCATTTAGTCTTGAGATTTTAGCAAGTTAGTGTTTAAGATGACTTGTGAAGGGGTGCCTGGATGGCTCAGTCGGTTAAGCATCTGCCTTTGGCTCAGGTCATGATCTCAGGGTCCTGTGATGGAGCCCTGTGTCTTCAGGGTCCCTGGTCAATGGGGAGCCTATTTCTCCCTCTCCTTCTACCCCTCCCTCTGCTTGTGCTCTCTTTCTCTCTCTCTCTCTCTCAAATAAATAAATAAAATCTTTTTAAAAAATCTTAAAAATATAAGATGACTAGTAAAATACAGAACAGTCCAGACAGCCCTATCTCCCACGATCTATTTACAAAGGAATCAGAACTCCTTACGCAGAGTCATCAGGCATATTGCTTTCCTGCAACTCTGGAAGCATTGCTGGTTGAGAAAAAATGGAACTGAGCGTTACTGCCCCTCTGATCAACTGAATCCTGAGTTGACCTCATCTAGCAAATATGTGAAGCTAGGAACATGAAAAATAGAATAAGACAACATGAAATATGTTATGACATAATAAATTCAATTTCATGTAGCCTAATGAAATAACTTCAAACATAAATATTCACAACAATGCAATATGTGTCTAATTATGTGCATTTACTGCTTGCTATTTGCAGAAAAGCAATGTACAGAAGTACAACATACTTAAAATTATTTTCTGATTTAAAATATTTACAGCCAACATATTGTTAATTCCTTATAGTTTTGCCTTCTGAAAATTTACTAATACATTGAATAAAGTGTAGTCTACAGTATTAATTTATATATCTATTTTTAATTGAATGTTTCTGCATGCATTTATTTATGGCCTAGACGCATTTTTTCTATTCCAGGTGTGCATATATTTTACTTGTTTATTAGCTTTTGTTTATTTAAATTTAATGAATTAAGATTTCAACTGACTTTGCCATATCCAGGTACTCTGCTTATATTTCTACTTGTTTATGTGACACACAGTATAGCATGTTTATGTTAATAAAGTATCTTTGATATAATGAGATTAAATGTTATGCCAAGAAGTCTTATAAATTTGTGACCATACATAGCATGTGTGTATATATTATAAATATTATATACATATAGTGATCTAATGCACTTGAGTGTCATTAAAGTCACTGATATATTTTGTGGATCAATTTACCCAATAAGTAAGTATATTTGAAGATGGCCACATGCTGTACAAGTTAAGGTTTTATATGAATAATATCTAGAATATCTTTTAGGGAGTTCAGATTTAGTGTATGTCTGAGTGCCTTGAAGATTGAGACGTAGAAGCCTCCAAACTTAGAAGCCACATTTATCAACACACCGGCCCCAAGCACAGTTTTTTGAACACCACCCAGTTGGGTTAGTCTGGTTTAAAGGTTAAAAGCACAATACAGGAAGGTAAGGTCATGATTAGCAGATGACACACTCAAGTGAATACAGTCTGCTGAAATCATGTTTGCCAGATCAAAGGCAATAACTGTGACCAAGAACAGTAGGTCTTCCATGGTTTCTCCAATATTGTCATTAGATTTCATAAGAAAAGTGCTTTGCTTAAAAAAATATAACAGACGAGAAGAGCGGGGAGACTTGGTTGTCGCGGACCGGGAGCGAGGAGGGGGCGGGAGGAGGGGGACGGAAATGGGGGCGGGGGGGAAAAAAAAAAAAGAAAAAAAAATATATAACAGACGTTAAAGTATAATTCATACTATTTTGATCTTGACAGCCTGCAAGGTTAACATCAGTTTTATCTGACTTAACATTGTCGTAATTTTAAAATTTTCTATGTGAACCTGAAAACATGTAGTTTCTTGTAAGAAAAATATACATCTTGTTTTCAGAGAAATTATCCCACATATTATCAGAGTTTGGAATTAATACTTTCCTCTTGTTAAGTGCCCTGCAGAAGCTATGATGGTGTGGGGGTGTAAGATACATAAGCCCATAGGCTAGAACTGGGAGCAGGGCTGAGGTGGGGTTGAGAGCCATGGAAAGGGACAGGAAGCTTACGTCCGGTATTCCTTCACCTATCTAACTTCTTACCCTAAATACCCCTAGAAATCAGACTCAATTTTAAATTTGGAGGAAATTTTGGGGTACAAGGATGGTCTTATGTTTTGAATTCCTAGGGGTCATATATTTAAAAAATAATGATGGTACATTGTCTCAGTGTGTTTGGGCTGCTATAACAAAATGCCATAGACTGGGGGGTGAGGGGAGTGGGGTTAAACAACAGAAATTGATTTCTCACAGCTTTATATACTGGAAATTCCAACAGCAAGGCACTAACATACCCAGCGTCTGGCGAGAGGCTGCTTCCCCGCCTGTACGTACCTGGCTTCTCACTGGGTCCTGACTTGGCAGATTACAGAGGGAGAAAAGACAGACTTACAAGGTCACTAATTCCATTCATGAGGCTCCACCCTCAGGACCTAATCACCTCCCAAAGACCAGCTTTCCTAATACCATCCCACGTGGACTTGGATTTCAATATAGGAGTTTTTGGCAGACACAAACATTCAGCTCATAGTTTATGTAAAGTAAATGAAAAGAGGTATGCACAAGTGGGATGTGTCTAGGTCCCTGACTGGGCTGGACTGTATCTAATAAGAGTTTTTGATGTAGATAGCAGAGGAGACATTCTCCAGATCTCAGTAGGAGGAGAAGACGTAGCATATGCCAAATGTGTTATGCCAAATGAAATAAATTGCTATTATGGAAATAGCAATTCCTCACCCTCTGACCAGTTTGATCTTCTTGTCAAAGCCCTTCAAACTCACAAATTAATCATGTTTTCCAAATATGGAACTGCCTTTGTGATTTATAGATGGATTAATATGCAAAATTGTCCAATAAAATCAGAAACAGATATCCAATTACATGGTATGACTATATTTATTTAATACTGTATTTTAATGAATCAAGAAAATTATTGATGAGGAGATACATTGGAGAGGCCTAAAAACAATTTTTTTTTGCAAGATCGACTGTCAAATGCATTCGCATTCAGTGATAATCAGGGGTGAACAAATTATAGTGTTAGCATATATGAAATGTAGAGTAGCTGAAGGTTCACAGCTGAGTAATGCTTCACAAGTACTTTGTGATGTAGCAAGCATGGGGACTATTGTCTGCTTACAGAAAGAACATGGGAGTCATTCTGTCTACAAGTATTTATTGAGCATTTAGCACGTACTAGGTATAAAGCCAAGTTTTCAGGCAATAACCAAGAACAAAGCAGACATCATTTCTCCTTGTGTATATGCAAAAGCTTTTTTTTTTTTTTAATTAGCTAAACATAAAAACCTTGTTAGGACAACGTCAAGCATTTAGAGGTCAGATGTATGCCCAACTGTCCTAGCCCAGCAAACTGTACCAACTTAGCCTACTGGAAAGGATAACAATTTAAAAATATTAACTCGGGTGTAAAACATACTGCAGAGATAAAATAACTAAATAATACCTGTGTTCCTCCCTTTTTCTAAAAAAAAAAATATATATATATATATATTTTTTTTTTAGAAAAAAAAATATGTTGATGGTTTCCTGCTTACCAGTTTCATTTTTAAACCTTTCCTCTGACCATAGGAGCTGATGCTGTGGAAGCTCAGTGTAAAAGATTTGAAGTGAGAGCGAGTGAAGATGGCAGGGTGCTGTTTTCTGCAGATGAAGATGAGATTACCATTGGGGCTGAAAAGCTGAAAGTCACAGGTACTGTAGTTTGAGGTTTTGGAGCATTGTTTACTTCTTGAAAGAATATGGAACTGAACAAGAACTATGTTATAAGATGTATGATCCCCGTGCAGAAAGTTGAGTTCACGTAATAACATGATCTCACACCATTGGATTTCCCAGGAGTCTTCAAATAGAAGACAACTGGTTGTGGTGGCAGAAGACAATGTAAACACTGTGAAACAATATAATCACTGCTTTCGTGATATAAAAGTAAAGCTGTATGTCCTAGGCAGGGGGAAGGATAGGTGGAGGAAAGTGGGTCTGCAGAACGGAAGAAAAAGTGGGATGCAGACCGTAAGAAGTGCTAACTCAAGGTGATAGACAATTACAATTCAGAGGTATCATTTAAAAGTAGAATATATGCAATATATGCAAAAGAAGAACTAAAATGTAAGTATCAACTAGAGAATGAAGTAGGGGGAAAGTTACAAGTAAATAAAATTACCTTCTTTGGCTTATAATTATTCTCAAAACTGTATATATCAAGATATAGTGCTATCCTGGGGCGCCAGGGTGGCTCAGTCGGTTAAGCATCTGCCTTTGGCTCAGGTATGATCCCTGGGGGTCCTGGAAGTGATCCCCACATCGGGCTCCCTGCTCAGTAGGGAGTCTGCTTCTCCCTCTCCCTCTGCTCCTCCCCCATGCTAGTGCTCACGCTCTCTTTCTTTCTCTCTCTCTCAAATAAATAAATAAAATCTTTAAAAAAATAAAAATATAAATAAATTTAAAAAGGAATGGTGCCATCCACATATTATTTAGAAGTTGTTAAAGTCATGATTCTAATATTAGAGCTATTAAAAAGTCAATCACCAACTGAAATTAAGAAGCAAAAACAAAAGCAGAAATCAAAGATAAAAGCAAGCCTGAGAGCAGGGAAAGATTTTATGAAGACTATTTTAAGCAAAATCTCTTTGAATTACTTGATTTGCAATCATAATACATGTAATTTCAATAACATTTTAAAAATACCCAAAGAGGCCTACATTAAAAAAAAAAAAAAAGTGAAATAAGCTTGACCTAGTGTTTCCCAAATGTGAGTTTAGGAACGGCTCATGGGATATCTATCCTATCTATTTAAGTCCTACTGAACCCCGTGGGCCATGTGAGAACAGGTTATGTAGAAATTGGCCTCTAGTCTCAGGCTGTTGGGGTTGAATCCTGCCTCTACCATTCAATATTTAAATAAACCCATTGCCTCCAATTTTCCTTCATCTAAATGATTGAGATGGTGATGATAACTTTAGTATTCAAATTATACCAGTGTATGTGTGCACACCTATGTGTACATGTGTGTTTTAGAATATTTTCAGCACATAATGAAGACATTGTCGTAGTCAGCTCTTTGTATTTATTAATAAAGATAATATTAATATTGTTAATGTTCCAGACTTGAGGACTTATGTGTATTTCAAGAAAGTTGTACTGCCAAATGATACTGAAATTCAACAAAGTTTTGTTTTTTTTGTTTTTTTCAGAGAGAGAGAGAGAGAAGGTGGGAGGCATGGAGGACAGGGGCAGAGAGAGCATCTTATCAAGCTTCACACCCAGTACAGAGCCCAACACAGGACTTGATCTCACAACCCTGAGATCATGACCTGAGTGGAAATCAAGAGACAGATGCCCCTCGACAAAGATAGTTCAATGGGGATCCTCACTGGGCCTCTTTGGCCCAGGTAACAACCCACTAGCACAGTCCCTACTGACTCCCACAGCTTCCTTTCTCTTATGGGATATTCTGTGGAGTAGCTGGAGCCTGCACTGTTGGGTTGGTGTTTGGAGTGTCCCCCATGACTGCCCAACTGCCTCATCTCCTTTTGTTTCCTCAGTTTCCTTGGAAAGGTCAGGAAAGGAAGCCCCACAGGGGGGCAAAAATTGACCTTTCTAAGCCCTGAGTCTGGGGGGCAGGGACAAAACAAAACACATGAGGGCTTTGGTTGGCATGAAGCACAGACAAATAGAAATGGACATTGACTTTAGGGCCCTTGGTGCTAACATTTGATTTGCTGGTTGGTGGGAAAGCAGGGAACCCAGGTAGAAATACACTCAGGGTGATTAAGCAGACGTGATTTCAATATTTAACAATCTTTTATGTTGGTAGTGTCTACTCATTACCAGCTTTAATCCTAAGATAGCTTTTAAGATATCTAAAAATTATTTCATCCATATTTGGATATTCCCATTGAGTACTTTGCTTTCATAAATGACAGGAAGTTATAGAGCTCTTGACAGTTTTTATGAACTCATGGAATTTTAACTTCCTCTGATCTAATGTTGACTTGTCTCATAACAGTTGCAGTAAAACATTAGATTCAGTTACTAGTTTTTAAATTTTTCTTTGAGGTACATGGATACTCATCTTTATTTTCCTCTTTTTTCTTGGTAACCTGGCTGCCATCCTTAGTTTGTTAATGGGAATTATTAAAGTGTTCCCTGAAAAATCTGAGTTCTTCTTTTCAGTTAACTGCCTTCAGGCAGTCATCTCTGCTAACTTATTCTCTCCCCCACCCCCGGTGTACATGTGAATGTGTGCGTGGGACATATGCATGGTGTATGTATATGCATGTATGTATATCTTGATATGCAGGTGGACAGGTACATATGTTTCATTCTGGTTCTCTTTTTCCATTTCTTTCTGTCTCAAACATATACACATAGCTTTGAATTTATTCTTCATACTACTTTTGATCTTTGTCCTTTATCTCAGAAAATCAATCAGTTTTAGAGTAGGAGTCAGTACCATATGCTTCCAGAAGACCCAAAATAATAATATAATTTTGATTATATTACAATCAAATAATTATAAATTATAATATAATATAAAGATCCTAAATAATAATATAGTATAATTTTAATATTGACGGCAGAATCCAGCCAAAAATTTTTGTGAGGGTTTGAAGTTTAACACTTGAGATGAGGGAATCAGAATATCTGTAACAAGCAACCCCTGTTTCTAACCTGATGTGTATGGACAAGAGGCTCCAGGTTATTAACAAAGAAATGCTAAGTTGGCAGTATTTTAATTGGATTAAAACTCCCCCAGGATCCAGCGTATTTTGTTTCTCACAGAAGAGCCCATTTACCCACAGACACGCATAGACACAAGCATACACACACCCTCTCAAATTCCTGCTAGGTCCTTTCTCTCTTAGCAGGATATCGAATATTTACTGTGCAGGAGCTTTTTACCTTCCTGTAATACTTTTAAAATAAAGAAAAAAAAAAACAGCAAGGGCAAATATAATTTAGAATTTCACATACTTAGAGGAAAAAATTGTGCGTCGCATTGCATACCATTTAAAGGCCCAGGGATTGATTAGAAACTCACATCCACTTTGAAGCAGTGCTTGAATCATTTGACAAGTAACACTACAAAGAGACACGGACTCCAGGGTGCTTCATATAAATTAGGTAGCTGTGCTGACAAGACTTCAAAGTTACATGTGACAAAAGATCTGTGTGGGGTTGATTCTAGAATTTTAAATTTGTGGCACAAATTTTCTATTTAAACAATAGCCATTGGAATTAACAATTGATTTCTTTCTGGCTTTTTATAATTTACAAGCAGTGGCATTTTGTATATGGACTTCTCTTCCAAGGTGACAGAAATGGATGAATTTATTTAGACAATGTGTCTATACACCTGAGGCAAAATCACTTATGACTAAAATTATTCATAGATATAGCATGGCTCAGGATATTTACATTTACTCTACTTAAAAAGTAGCAGGGATTTACCCAATACGTTCACATACTCCTAAGGTGCAGGAGGATAGATGGAAAATCACAAATGGTTACCTGAACACCCACAACACGCCTCATTACCCCATCACCATGGTAAGCAATCGCATGCCAAAAATTTCTCATTTTTTACTCTTGTTATTACTTGAGTTGCTCAGTAATTGTTTGCTTAAATCTTATTTTGATAAATCTTTGACCTTATTTTGATAAATCTTTGACCTTAACCTACCATCTCTACATGGCTAAATGTATTAGAGTGTTACACATTAGCTCACATATGCATACTTGAGAACTTTCTTTTCATTAAAATTCGTCAAAGATACTCCTTACTGCCGTTATCTTTTGAGATCTAATATTGGTCTAAGATATCACTTACTGCAATTATCTTTTGAGACCAGGTAAACAAATAAAAGATATAAACCTTTACACCTAGAAGACTCTTAAATTTAGTGCTTTCAGGCAGAATCAATCAACTGCAATCTGCACTTTCATTTGTATTCCAAGTAGTGTATTAACTTAGAAAACAAAGAGGGAGTCTAAGTCCTTTGACTTTATAAAGTGAAAAACTTCAGCCATGTAAGCTACCTCGATGTTAAATTTTATGCTATGGGTTGGACGTAGACCTCTCTGTTTTGTTTATGAGAGAAAAGAGGAAAAACAGCTAAAGGTATAAGGAGAAAGGATATCTCCTTTTTTTCAGGCAGTAGAAATTAAAGCTGGAAATCTGAAAAAAATAGTGAATCTCAACCCTGCACCCACCCTGTGCCCTAATGTTTGCTCGAAAGCCAAGACTATATCACTGCTTCGTCCCTGTTCTAACTGAATGATGGGAAAATAGACAAGTTCCAGTGCTTGTTTGACAACGGAAGAAGGGATTTTCTGAAGAGCTGCCTTTTAAATTAAACACCACGCTTCTGGGTTGAAATCAATATTTCCTGGTTTGTTTTTATTAGTTAGTCTTCTACGTCCTTGTTCTTGGCTGTTAAATTGGCACACTGTGTGGAGGTCAGCTTTGGAATCAAGCTTTCGATTAGCTGGGACCATTGTTCCTGCAAGCTGTCCAAATGCCAAGAACGTGGTAACACACAGCCCACAGGACAGAGCCACTTGGTTTGAATAGCATCGGAAAAAATGTGATTAAACCCAGAGCTGAGAAAAGTGATATGCAATCACTTAATTATCTCAGGTGTGGCGTTTCAAGTCTGTGGACTTGGGTAAATCACTCTGTTTTCTAGTTG